ACTAGAAATCAGTGGTTAAGTTGTATTTACAACACTGTTACACATCAGTTCAACCCAAATATTCAGATGTGTGCAGCACATTTTATGGAGGACTGTTTCCTGATCCTGGTAGAGTAGACTACAATGCCGGCTGTTCTGACTCAGAGACTGTAAGTAAGTTTTTTATATGAAAGAATTTGCCACTGACGATTCAAACGCGAGTTTTGAGCAGTGTATCGCTTGTCATTTCTCCGATCACAAATGCAGACATGGTTTTATGTATGTCACATGGTTTTATGTATGGTTTTAAAGACAGTATATGTCATTATAATCCGTCCCCACTGGATGCAACAAATGCCTTGTTTATAATGGGTTTTAATGTTTTTGTCTCGTCGCTCCGGCCGGACAGGGCATCATCACAGTACGGTAGGGGCGTAACATTTCCGTCACACGCTTGAGGTATTCGGCCAATCACAACGCACTGGATAGCCGGCCAATCAGAGCACACCTCGCTTTTCAGACCGATGAGCTTTGTAAAAATCGAAGCGTTTCAGAAAGGTGGAGCAAAGAGGAGAAACAATAATGTACAGTATGTGGAAAATGTGTTTTTTTAACCTTAAACTGCATAAACATTTCATTACACCAAATACACAAAATAATGTTCTTTTCAGCAACATCATATGACCCCTTTAATGTCTAATCTCCCAATCTCTTGCGCTCAGGGTTGAGAAATGCTCCTCGCTGTTGGGCCGTCATTCAGCCGTTGCTGTGTGCTGTTTACATGCCAAAATGTGAGAATGGAAAGGTCGAATTGCCCAGCCAGCACCTGTGCCAAGCTACACGCAAACCTTGCAGTATTGTGGAGCGGGAGAGGGGCTGGCCCAACTTCCTCAAGTGTGAAAACAAGGAGCAGTTCCCTAAGGGTTGCCAGGTAAGTCATCCTTAGCATATGCCCAAAAAGTTTGGTCTGGATTGCACATGATGTGAACAAATTGACTTTCAGAATGAGGTCCAGAAGATCAAATTCAACACTTCAGGACAGTGTGAGGCTCCCTTGGTCAAAACAGACATCCAGGCAAGTTGGTACAAGGACGTGGAAGGTTGTGGGATCCAGTGCAACAATCCCCTGTTCACAGAAGATGAGCACTCGGACATGCATAACTACATTGCCATCTTCGGCTCCATCACTCTCCTATGTACATTCTTTACGCTGGTAGGTGAGCCGGCGAAGACTGGATTTCATAGTCTCGGGCTGGCTGACTTCCTTGTGTGCAGTATTTCTGACAGAAAGTAGTTCAAGTTTGGGCTGCAATCTTTAATTATTGATGTTATTCCTGCTTACAATTTCCCACAGGCCACATTTCTCGCCGACTGGAAGAATTCCAACCGTTACCCCGCTGTGATCCTGTTTTACGTCAATGTATGTTTCTTTATCGGAAGTATTGGATGGCTCGCTCAGTTCATGGATGGAGCCCGCAAGGAGATTGTGTGCAAAAGCGACGACACTATGCGGCTTGGAGAGCCATCGTAAGTATGAAGCCAGCGGAAAATCCACCTTCCAAAACATTGGATTACATTCAATTAGAGTTACGCTGCATATTACAAATACTGACTGTCAGGAACATTTGATAGCCAAGAAAAGTAATTGGACCAAACAATAAAAATAATTTGACTTACCAGATATACTTCAGATGAATTAGTATGCTTATTTCCATTGCTTATTTTTCTCTAGATCCACCGAGACGCTGTCATGCGTGATTATCTTCGTCATTGTGTATTATTCTCTAATGTCTGGAGTTATTTGGTTTGTTATGCTCACTTATGCCTGGCACACATCGTTTAAAGCCTTGGGAACCACCCATCTGCCTCTGTCTGGAAAAACATCCTATTTTCACCTGGTCACATGGTCTATTCCTTTCATACTGACAGTTGCTATACTGGCCATTGCAGAGGTGAGGTTGCTTTTGTCATTTTTTTTGTATTGTTAATATCAGCGTATTCACAGTGGTTTAATTTTGACACTATGAAATATTCCACAGGTGGATGGAGATTCAGTTAGCGGCATTTGCTTTGTTGGTTATAAGAACTACAGATACCGTGCAGGGTTTGTTCTGGCTCCTATCGGGGTGGTCCTTGTCGTTGGCGGCTATTTCCTGATACGAGGTGAGAGAGATATTTTCATTCTGTTGTGTTTAACAGTAGCGCATGGCATAAAGAGATGGTTTTATCCGTGTGAATTTATACAAGACTCTTGTTTTTCAGGGGTTATGACATTGTTTTCCATTAAAAGTAACCATCCGGGGCTGCTCAGTGAAAAAGCTGCTAGTAAAATCAATGAAACCATGCTGAGGCTTGGTAAGTTTTGGATTCCTCTTTAAAATTATGCAAATTATACAGCATGAAAAGCTTTCATTAAGAACAAAATGAAATCCACCCCAATTATTGAAGTGTTTTAATTTAAAATACAACCCACCTGGCAATAGAAATGTCAGTAATAAAGGTGTACTACAAGTACTTACACTGCAGCTATTGTAATAACATTATGCTATAATGATATATATTCTTCACAAACAATGCAACACAAGTGTGTGTGTGTATGTGAGTTGAGTGAATAGAGTAATTATTCTCCACAAACAATGCATTACACGTATTAAACATCCACTATATATAATATAGTTTGTTTGCGAATAATATCTTTAGAGATTATTCACTCTTGATGTAAATTCTGTGAATCTTTGACTTGTTCATTCATCTAAGAATGAGCAAATTCCATTTATTTTTCCATTTCTCAGGTATATTTGGATTCTTAGCCTTTGGTTTTGTTTTCATCACATTCGGCTGCCATTTCTATGACTTTTTCAACCAAGCTGAGTGGGAAAAAAGCTTCAGGGAATATGTACTGTGAGTCTTTTTCTTCTATCGTCTAGCTTTTCTAGACAAAGTAGCATTTTATAGACATGGGGAACATGTGAAATACATTATCTACCATACATTGTGTTATGGTTGTGATACTGTAGACAGAGGGCTACCTGTGCTGTCATGTAACAAATCTAGTTTTTAATACAGATGTGAGGCTAATGTCACCATAGCTCATCAGACCAACAAGCCGATCCCAGAGTGTGCCATCAAGAACAGGCCTAGTCTGCTGGTGGAGAAGATCAACCTCTTCTCAATGTTCGGTACAGGCATTGCAATGAGCACATGGGTCTGGACGAAGGCCACCATCCTTATTTGGAAACGCACCTGGTTCAGGTAGGTAACAAACATACAAACAAAATAAGTTTTTGATGAATTAAAATAATGTTATATTTTATGTAGAACATAATACAAATCTATTATTGACATTATTTAACATTTTGTGTGTTGTAATAAATAAAAAATAAGCTGAATATTAAGCATTTTCTCTCAATCTAAGAATCATTGGAAGAAGTGACGATGAGCCGAAACGCATTAAGAAGAGTAAAATGATTGCCAAGGCATTCTCAAAGCGAAAAGAACTGCAGAAGGATCCAGAGAAAGAGCTGTCCTTCAGCATGCACACCGTTTCTCATGAGGGACCTGTGGGTAAGCACCTCCTCCTATATTCTAAGGATAATTTTCTCAACTTTTAGGAGTACACACACATAGATGGCCTCAAAGCTAAAAGGTCAATCAGTCACATTTGAAAGTGTTTTTGCTCCCTACATTAGACACAAATAACTAACATTTAATTTATTTAACCCTTTGCACAGCGGGTATCAACTTTGACCTGAATGAGCCATCAATGGAAATGTCTTCTGCGTGGGCCCAACATGTGACCAAGATGGTGGCTAGAAGAGGGGCAATTTTACCACAGGATATCTCAGTGACGCCCACCGGAACACCTGGTTAGTACTCTAGTTCTTAAATAATTGATAAATATATAATCAAGAGTTAACTGTAACTGATGACCAATAGTAGCAGTTTTGTATAATTTAACAACAACAATAGTAATAATGATAAATAATTTACTATAATAGTTAAATGCATTTTCCCTACAGTTCCGCCTCCAGAGGAAAGAAACAAACTTTGGATGGTTGAAGCAGAAATTTCTCCTGAAATGATGAAAAGAAAGAAGAAGAAGAAAAAGAGAAGGAAGGAAATACGGCCAACGGGTCCTGCAGCGGACGAAGGGAAGACTGCCTACCACCGGAAGGAGTTTGGCCCCAGCTCAGTCCCCCGTCTCCCAAAACTTCCAGGTCACCAGAGTCTGGTGGCTAACCTGTGGGAGCAGCAGCGACAGCGGCAGGAGGAACAGGATATGCTACCTGGAGCCTTCCCTGAATTCAGGCCTTCATGTCCTCTTCCTTACCAGGAGAGATATGGTGGTTTGGGATATTTATGCAATAAACCCTCCAGCCTCCCCCTTGCCAGTCCCCTGACGCTAAGAGATAGCATGCAAGATGATTCAGATGGCTTCCAGCAATCATCATGGAAACCTAATGGGGTTTTCCGGCACCTTGGGAAGGAAGCTTCCGTGATGGGTGCTGGCAGGACTGCCGTTGTGCCACGGGTCGATGGCAGGAGGGGTGTACCAATACACTCCAGAACAAATCTTATGGAGGCTGAGCTACTGGATGCTGACTCAGATTTTTAAATCTTTGGAGTTGTTGGTGCTCATTTTGCGCTGTGAAAGGTGCTGCATACTCATGCCAAACAATGAACCTGAAGCAGAAGTGGGTTCGAACTGCTGTGCCAGCTCTGCTTGTCTAAAGGATAATACGTTTTTATGCGACTCTCATGATAATGAGAATTATGAACTGGATTTATGAAACATTATTAAAGAGTCATAAAAACATTTGTGCCTTCGACATGGATTTTGTAACATCCCACATGTGATTGTGGTGACAATACATATTGTTCAGTTTGCTAGCTGGGCTAATATGACATAATTTTGATTCCTTTCTTTGTTTGGAACAGGTTAGTGTGTAAAGGGGCTTTATTTAAGAATGCCACATAATTCGGATCTTAGCTTAAAGGGGAATTGTGTAATTTCTGCAGCACTGGAGTTACCAAACGGAATCACAAAAATAATGACTGTTTTCAAACAGGCCCGTCTGTCATTGGTCAATAAAATAGGTAGCCCCACCCAGAACACATGCCATTGACTGAGCCAGTGTTGCTGTGTTGGCATAATCAAAAATAGCCTTTTTTAAGATCTCTTGATCTGTAGATGGCGCTGTAACCAAATTTGTCTTTTGCCTTCAGATCATAGCACCGATGAAGGGTACCAAGTTTTGTTTTGACAGATCAAAGTATTGCCAGGATACAGCCTCTAATCCAATTTTGGGTCGACGTTGTTAACTTAATGTTAATGTCATATTAAAGGGATCTCCAACCCTGCTCCTGGAGAGCTACTGTCCTGCAGACTTCCAGTCCTGCTCCAACACACCTTAATTAGCTGGTTCAGGTGTTTGATTGGGATTGGAGTTGAAATCTGCAGGACTGTAGCTCTACAGGAGCAGGGTTGGAGACCCCTGCTATATTGAATGGAGGCAAAAATTTCTTTGCGACTCAGTTCAGTGGTCATTTAGTCCAATTTTGGTATGAATATTGACTGTTTTCAAACAGGTTTCCCCATCTGCTATTGGTCAGTCAGACATGCCATTGGTTGAGCCAATTATGCTGTGTTGATGTTCAAACAAGCATAGTGTACGAATCAGTGTGCAAATGACTTATTTAAAGTTGTCCCGACATTAAACTGGGATAGGTAAAAGTATGTTTAACATGGAGTAACACCAGCTTGTAGTGGGCCTATAGTCTGTAATATTAAAAAATACACAGTCTGTAGTCTGTACTGTATCTGTTGGAAAACCTCACAATTAAACATCCTTGGCCACACCTTTATAGACATAAAGAAAAGTAACTGACAAAAGTGCTATTTCTTCAGAAAAAGAGAATTTATTCAGCTATTCTTATTACTTTTTTGTTTGGAAAAATTGCCTGGTGCAATCACAAACAAGTCCACCTCTCTCATTCAAAGAGTAAGACAAAATAAAGGGCATTGTTTTTGTTTGTTTAAAAATTTTTGCTCAAAATGCCAATGGTTATGTAAGATTCTGTTTCCATTGACAATTATCTCTGTACAGTGCTATTACAAAAACTATTTTTCTACTTTATATTGTTTATTTCACCTGTTTTATATTATATTATTTTAAACTGTACATAATTAAGATCACATTTTTGTTTCGTACACCTATTGGAGTGATTTTTGCTTCATACACATTTGGATTTGCTTATCGGTGTGAATTTTGTTTGAAATTTTAAGCTTATTTACAATTTGTGTTATTTGAAGAGTTCAGATGCAAAAGCCTGTAAATGCCATCTGAAATTTTCATCTAAAATTAGCATTTTTTTATCAGACTCCTATATTTATGTTCATTTATTTCACTTTAATGGCATAGAAAAGGACCTATGCATTGCCATTAAAGTAAAATTACTGAACCTAAACATAGGAGCCTGATACAAATGCTAATTTTAGAAGAAAATTTCAGATGGCACTTAGAGGCTTTTGCATCTGAACTCTTCATTTTTCTTTTTCAACTTGGATCATTGTTAGTATCTGTGGCAATATTAACAAAAAAGCAGCTGAGCCACATTTTCTGACAATTTGAAGCTGTCCTTCAAGAATGTATTTTTAGAAAAAAGTGTTTAATGAAGATGCTTGCGCTCTGTGACTTCGATGATATCTGTTTTTTCCCCATCACTGTTGCTGTTATTCCCTCATTAGAGCTGGTCTGTCCTTATCAATACTATTTTATGTCAGTATTTTCATGTGTGTGTGTGATCTTTGCTGTTTTCCTGCCGGAGTCTCATTCCATTGTATATATTTTTTAATATTGACATGCCATTAATGAATAAAATGTACTGAAACAGAGTAAAACTAAAGGATTCAGATTATAAAATGTTGAATGCTTCAAGGTTATTTTCATTACACACATAAAAAAGGAAATAATGTTTAGTATTACACCTCTACCCAAAACTATATGAAAAACTGTGTCTTTATGTAGTAGTACATAAAGAAAGATTGGCCCATATATTTTGCTCTCATTGATATTCTTGTACTCAGATTTTCTCCAGATTTGTATGATTTTGTATGAAGCTGAATAACAACAACCTTCGGTCACTTGTCAGCTGGCAGTGTTTAAAAAATATATTTTTACGTAGTTTATACAAATAAACAACACAAAATATATTTAATTGTGTTTGTGTTACTGTTCATTCTCCAACCAGTTAAGTCAGAACAAACTTTTGTGAGCTAATACATCGATTTTCACTCTATATAAAATATAATAGACTGACCGAGCAAGAGCAATTTTTTCTGCTTGCGAGTATGATATTTGCTTTTATACCACAGTTCAATAAACAAGAAACTAATGATGAGTGACTTACATTTTAGAGGTAATACTGAAAGTCATTTTGTCTGTTTTGCTCCACCAACGAAGTTTCAAACAAGAGCCAGATCCATATGCAGCGAAAATAACCACTGAATCGTGGAGAAACACACACAGCACTGCAGTGGCATTGATTGAATCGTTAAACGAATCAACTGAGTAAATGGTTCAGCGACAGGGTTGCCAGGTTTTCACAACAAAACCCTCCCAATTGCTACTCAGGGTGGGGTGGGGCCGGGGGAGTAAAATAAACATTTGGCGGGGTTCCCCCTGGTAAAATTCGTATTCCATTGACTAAATATCACGTTATTGAGGTCACTTCAACCCCCGGACATGAAAACAAACCCATGACAACAGTGTTAAATGCATTCTAGCTAGTTCACGCGCGCGCAGGCCGTGGCTACAGCTGAGCTGAGCTGAGCTGATCTGGTCTGATGGCGGAGGCGCGCGGCTGTAGCAGGATGGCTCTCACCAAACACACGATGTCCACTGATGTGGAGAGTCGGAGGCGACGGTCCACTGAGAGCTCAGGCGAGTATTACAGTCATCTTACAATTATTCAGAAGCTCAAAGAGACTTTTACTATCCTTGTGCATTCATTAGGACTATTTTAACCTAGTTTCTTTGCTTGTTTGCTTGTTGTGGTTTCAGTGATTCTCCTAATCTATAGAAATGTACTTTCTTTTCTTTTTTGTTTTGTTTCAAGCTTTCATATCAATTAGTCGTTTTAGTGACAAATAAGAAAGAACTCTGTTTTTTAGTGGGATTTGGGGAATATGTCACACCTGTAAGGAGAGACTGATTTCACCTGTTCTACCCACGCTATTGAGTAATGATTTTCTTCTACTGTAAACACAAAGCTAAAACATCAGTGATCAGTGCAAAATCATGTTAAATATTTTAGTATGTGTTTGTTTTTAATTTGTCACAAATTTAAAGGCCATTTCCATACTTGTATCATCTCTGCATTGCTTAGAAAAAAATGATTGTAAGCCTTTAATTTACTTTTTTAAAATGATTTCTTTTTAAATTGTTACTTTTGTCTTTTTTTTGTGGGAACAGCTTTAGTATTGTGATCTTTAACTTCTAAAATGTGTATTCAAGTTTTAAACATGTATTTATTTATAGCTTATAGGCACATTTGGCTTCTTATTTTGAAATATGGTAGTAAACATTGTCTGCTGTTTCGTAACTTTTATTGCTTTTATGATTTTTCTGAAATCTCATGCCATGATATCAATTAGCAATGCAATCAGACGCAGTTGATTCACTAATGTTATGTGGGAAACTGTTGTTCATGTGACCATCAGGAGTCTTTCGTTAGTTCCAGACTGACTAAAATGAAGTCATCAGATGACCATGATGAGAAACCTCTAAATCCACTGAGACATTGATTTCTTTCCCTGTATGACCTGTAGAGCCCCTTTGGGACCATGACCCCAAAGGTCGTCGCTGTAGCTCCCAGTGTGACAGACTGTGTGTTGCTGGAGCATATCTTGAGATCCCAGATACTCCTTCCACCTGCACCTCCCAGTATTGCGGACACTACACCCCAAAATGTCTCTCTGCCCACAGTGAGTGTCTTGCTATAGTCTGTCTACTCAATTCATGAGTGCAAAAACAGTCATTTATATATTATATATATATATATATTATATAAAAGTGTCAGGGATGTTATTATAGTTGTCTAAAACTGAAACTAATGTTAAAATCATTAAAAATCTAAATAAAATAAGTTAAATATAAAATTAAAAAACTTTATTTCAGCTAATTGTCAAGGCAACATTTCTCTTTTTAATTTACAATTAAATTACTTATTTATATCTGTCTCTCTCTCTCTCTCTATTTATATATGAAAAAGAAACAAACTTCTAAAATGATTAAAAACAACAAAATTATCAAAGCTTTAACTGAAATCAAAATGAAAACAGAAAATATAAAAGTCATGCTGATTCAAAATATTAATAATAATGCATTTTAATTAATATTAATAACTAATAGTGTCTTTTTTTTGTGGGAACAGCTTTAGTATTGTGATCTTTAACTTCTAAAATGTGTATTCAAGTTTTAAACATGTATTTATTTATAGCTTATAGGCACATTTGGCTTCTTATTTTGAAATATGGTAGTAAACATTGTCTGCTGTTTCGTAACTTTTATTGCTTTTATGATTTTTCTGAAATCTCATGCCATGATATCAATTAGCAATGCAATCAGACGCAGTTGATTCACTAATGTTATGTGGGAAACTGTTGTTCATGTGACCATCAGGAGTCTTTCGTTAGTTCCAGACTGACTAAAATGAAGTCATCAGATGACCATGATGAGAAACCTCTAAATCCACTGAGACATTGATTTCTTTCCCTGTATGACCTGTAGAGCCCCTTTGGGACCATGACCCCAAAGGTCGTCGCTGTAGCTCCCAGTGTGACAGACTGTGTGTAGCTGGAGCATATCTTGAGATCCCAGATACTCCTTCCACCTGCACCTCCCAGTATTGCGGACACTACACCCCAAAATGTCTCTCTGCCCACAGTGAGTGTCTTGCTATAGTCTGTCTACTCAATTCATGAGTGCAAAAACAGTCATTTATATATTATATATATATATATATTATATAAAAGTGTCAGGGATGTTATTATAGTTGTCTAAAACTGAAACTAATGTTAAAATCATTAAAAATCTAAATAAAATAAGTTAAATATAAAATTAAAAAACTTTATTTCAGCTAATTGTCAAGGCAACATTTCTCTTTTTAATTTACAATTAAATTACTTATTTATATCTGTCTCTCTCTCTCTCTCTATTTATATATGAAAAAGAAACAAACTTCTAAAATGATAAAAACAACAAAATTATCAAAGCTTTAACTGAAATCAAAATGAAAACAGAAAATATAAAAGTCATACTGATTCAAAATATTAATAATAATGCATTTTAATTAATATTAATAACTAATAGTATCTAAATGATACTAAAATAAC